TGGGATGCATTATAATAGTTATCCAAATGTTTGTGCGACTCATATATTTACATATAGATGATGGGTAGATGGTATTTTTACAGCATATGAAGAAAACAATATCAAAAACTCACAAAAAAGAAATAAAATTGAAAGCAGCAACCAAAAAAGTAAGAGAACCCAAAAATTGTGTTAAATTTAAAATCATTGATGAATAAATAAAGCGTTCAGTAGATCGTAGAAACTAAGAAATTTGCAAGGGCTTTGAGTTGTATGGTTATAGTAGACATAGTAGACTTTTTTATTAATATATTTGTTTAATTTCATTTGTATATTTTTTCCTTGAAAAATTTATCCATCAATGAATTAAAAGAGTGTAAGCAAAAATGCTCTCAAAAAATAAAAATGTCAAAAATAGTAAATTATATGTCACTAATTTTGCTTTTTGCATTCAACATATTAAAATAAAGATTAAATCAAAATTAATGAAAGTAGAAAGCGGGATGTGAAATGTTCACCAGGAACATTTCGGAAAGTAGAAATTTGTAAGCATTGAAATTATTGAATTTATTTTATTGTTTTTATTTTAAAAATACTTTTGATGTTGACTACAGGACTGCCGTCGCATAGCAAATTGCTGGACAGGAGAACTTGGACGAAATACATTGGCTTTTTCATTGTAAGACGGAACTGTTTGTTCAAAATATAATTTGACGCAATTACTTTTGCTCTTTTCAAGCAATAGCAGATAATTTTTCCAAAATGTGTCGTCAGTGGACAGTAAATGTTCAAGTATAATCATATCTTCAACCCAAAAAAAAAAAGTTATTATAAACACAATTTCTATTTATAATAAAATGAGCCTAACTTCAATGGCAGCAAATTCGTTGACTGCATGGACAATATTAACCATTACCGTAGCTGGAGTAAGAGATTCCTTTGCTCCTGTATTACTAAATGGCATCTATGAAATATTAATTACATTTATGTATAAATGCTTTGAGAATAGATTTAATATATTTACTTACCATTTTGTTGATATAATATATTTGTTTTTTTTTTTTATTTTTAAATGGTTTCTTTTATATTTATTTATGTACACCAAAAGCTACCATATGTTTTTATATCATATGTTTTCGTGATGGACAATACTTAGAAGTTTAAATTTTTACATCACCAAATTAGAGTCTGTATTGCTCTTTTAAATTTTGGTTGCTGGCTAAGTTTTAATAAATATTGCCCGCGTATGTTTTTCATATTTTAGAAACCGAAAACACATACAAATTACGAGAGTTGAATGGTAATCATTTTACCTTTTTTTGTGGAATATTTATTTTATATAAATGAAATGGTTTGATGTGCCATGAAATAAATTGAAACCATCCAAGAAGATCACCATCTCCTTTATTTATTACTATCCTTAAGATAAATCCATCGGCCTACTTCCATAATTATGAGTGATTTTCATAAAAAAATAGCGGAACTATATAATCCATCTATCACAACACAATAATTGAAGTGGAAGACACTTTTGCTCCTCACTAAACATGCATTTTGTTGCCCTTTTCAACATTTACAACTTTTGCATAGTTACAGCAATCAACCTATAGCATTCACTTAGCTTCAGTTGTTGCTTATGGAATATGTATATGGGTTAAAGTTCAAAGCACGTAACAACCATCTTTTGTTATTGCATACAATACAAACATAAGTACATACCAGCAAGAACATGTATGTAGTGTTCATATTGGATGTTCCTGATATTAAGTAAAAGCAATAGTGCACTAATATATCTATAAATACTTGCATCCTGTCTAAAAAAAAATATGTGTACTTATAGGAATAGACAGAATCAGTCGTGTGTGCAATAAGTTCGTGTGAAAATGAACATTAGATACCCGGCTGTTATGAATATACAAGCCAGATGGTTATAAGTTAGTTTCTCTTCGCTTGTCCTATTATAGACCCTCAATTATGCCTTCTTTTTGCTGCTTACATGCCTATTCTGTCGAGTTAACAAAATTTATTTTGGTATTAATTTTTACCATTCAGTACATTTTGTTACTATTTCGTATTCTGAGTTCACTGTCACCCTGTAAATTTTGTTACCAGTGAAAGAGGAGGTAACAAAAAATCTGCTCTTTGATTTTGTGTCGTTTGCTTGAGAAAAAATAAGAACTAAAATGGGTAGGCATATTTTAAGCCTGGAATTCAATGAAAATGAAGAAAAAATGTAAAAAGGCGTGAAAAAATGGCTCTTTTAATTTGGAAGGTAGCGTTTTCATTCAGCTTTTTTTGTTGTCCAGGCATATTTTCCGAAATTAGTTTTAAATATTTATGATTTAATAAGCAAATAAATAAAACTTATTTCTTTTGCTGTGCACCGTCTTCCATTTCGATGTGAAAGATCTTCTTTTTTACTTTACCAACTGGCAAATGGAATTGGACATGGTCGAAAAGAAGCAGTGCTGCCAAAGTTTTTTCAAACATTGTAACCAGTTCGCCAGGAAACCAAAACTCAATTTCGGGTGTTAAAAAGTAACAAAATTTACTTCGCCGGTAACAGTGAGAATAAGCCTGTCAACGTCAATTGAAGACTAAGCATTTTTTAATTTTTACTAAAAATCGCACAAATTTACAATTTCAACATGCAAAAATTTTCGACCGGTTAATTCCCGTACCTGTAAAGATTTGCACATAACTTGCAAATCAATTGTTTGCCTCCACTGCGTCTTTGTCTTTTGCGGGAATAATTATTATTATTAATTACAAGTTTATAGTTCAAATTAATAAATTAATTTTAAGAAACTAACATTTTTCTTTTTTGTTAGTAATTCACTCATGGTAAAAATCAATTCTTAATAATTTTGGAGAAATTTTTAGGGTAGACAGAATTTAGAATCCGGAAAACTTATTTTTGCTCATATAATCGGCTATTGTTTGCATGTTTGTTTTCTAGGATCTCCGAAACTACCGGGCAGATTAAACTGAAAATGTGTCAGTTCGTTTTCGTGGCAGCCGGGAAGGTTTGTGAGAGAAAAATTTCCGGAAAGCGGATAAGGGTCTTATTGTTACTGATATATAGCAAAAGATTTACATAATTTTATACTACGTAGCTTTTTGCTTAAACTAGCATGAAAACTGCTATTCTTTAAGGGAAGTGGACTGAGTACTCACCTATTTGAAAATGGCATTTGTGAATCCTTTCACTTGAAACTCTGTCCTCTCGAGGAAATTTACCGATATATTAAAAAAATATACGTATGTATGCATATTTGAATTGGTTTTTTCATAACACGAGGTGTGATCAGAAAATAACCGTAATTTTCAATATTTTTAGAAAGTATTTTTTTAGTAATCAAACGCCACAGTCAACAACAGTCCTTGCGCATTTAATTCCATTTTGTACACAAATCTTAATACAGCTGCTTTGAATAGTAAAAGATCGAGGAGCACACTTAAAGACGAAAACCTTTTTATCTGTCAAAAACAAACTGACATGTGTACCAACATAAGTTGGTATGATTTGGATACAAGCATAGATATCATCCTACAAACGTTCATTGCAAATGTTCTTTGTGACATTAATACTGACGTGAAAGACTTAAAATCGCGGAAAAGCGACACATTCAATTATATATGCTAGATCAATAATATAATCAAAAACACATTTAAATATACTAACCAATACTAATTAAAATAAAAATTGAACAATACATATGCACATATATATAATAATATCTATATCTATATCTATATCTATATCTATATCTATATCTATATCTATATCTATATCTATATCTAAATCTATATCTATATCTATATCTATATCTATATCTATATCTATATCTATATCTATATCTATATCTATATCTATATCTATATCTATATCTATATCTATATCTATATCTATATCTATATCTATATCTATATCTATATCTATATCTATATCTATATCTATATCTATATCTATATCTATATCTATATCTATATCTATATCTATATCTATATCTATATCTATATCTATATCTATATCTATATCTATATCTATATCTATATCTATATCTATATCTATATCTATATCTATATCTATATCTATATCTATATCTATATCTATATCTATATCTATATCTATATCTATATCTATATCTATATCTATATCTATATCTATATCTATATCTATATCTATATCTATATCTATATCTATATCTATATCTATATCTATATCTATATCTATATCTATATCTATATCTATATCTATATCTATATCTATATCTATATCTATATCTATATCTATATCTATATCTATATCTATATCTATATCTATATCTATATCTATATCTATATCTATATCTATATCTATATCTATATCTATATCTATATCTATATCTATATCTATATCTATATCTATATCTATATCTATATCTATATCTATATCTATATCTATATCTATATCTATATCTATATCTATATCTATATCTATATCTATATCTATATCTATATCTATATCTATATCTATATCTATATCTATATCTATATCTATATCTATATCTATATATAATATAATAATAAAATATTTCTAGGCTTTGTTCGGACTTTTTAGTGGATGGTTTATGTGGAGTTTGCACAAATGAATTCAATAAATGTTCAATGTTGACAGAACAAGCCTGTTGTTATTTGTAATTCCTCCTTTTATTTTGATGAGTAGGAAAACTATTCTTCTCTCCGGGAAGTGGACTAATGTCAATGGTAAAACCAAAAATGTTGTATTCCTACTAGTATTAAGTAAATAAATTTAATTTTGGTAAAAACATATTCCATGATCATTGAGTATTTTCGACAGGGAAGCATTGCAGGGTGCAGCTAATATTTATATATATGTTTATATTTATATATAATATTATACATATATGTATATATTTGTACGTATGAATGTGTGAATTAGAATATTGTTTTGCTCTCAATAAATTGCTTAAATAATGCTTATGGTAGTAAATATGTATGTAAATTTTTCTTTACAGACTGTCACTTACGGTTAAGAAAACATGTCGGGATATATTTATGCATAATGAAATTTGCTGACTTGGAAACATAGATGCTACAATAATAAGTAATATTATGTTGGACTTAAGTAAAGCAGCTGGAAGGAGAAAGCACTGAAACGAAAAAATTATGAAGCAAATAAACAACGATGCAAATAACAATCAATAAACCACCCACTCCCGTCAAACATCACACAGTCTTACTCTAAAACACATCGAGAAGTTTTTACAAAAAACGTAATAGAAATCAGTAAATGAGCATGAAAAATAAGCTTTACGAATTTTGTTTTGTGTTTATAAAGAATGTACATTATTCATACTTGTGTGTATATAAGCAAAATTAAAATTAGTGTAAAGTAATTTAAATAAATCCGCAAAAAAAGTAAATAATTAAAGTGAAAAGGCAGCGACAAAGTGCAATATAATAAGAAGGCATATACATATATATATATACTTCAAAATGAACTGGAAAATGAATATTCCCAAGGATGTATAAAAGATGTGATGGAAAGCCCGACTCTTTATAAAAATGGGGTTGCATTGCCTTTTTAAGGCTATTTTGATTGCGTACGTCATTAAAGGTTAGTTCTCGTTTAATAGATGTACAATACTTATGAATTCATGAACATTTTTGTACTATATTTACATTATGAATAAAAGGAATACAAAATAATCACTTAACCCCATCGAAATTAATATAAAATCAACTATACAAAATGATCAGTTTAAATAGCCGACATTATTAGGCTAGCTATTATTAGGTTAGCGAACCGGTACAACAACAACAACATCAGTTTAAATAGCAATTGCCTTTATCACTTCAATATCTCTAATAGAAACGGTTATTTGGAAGACAACACAATACTGGGGCGATAGTATTGCCAACTCAAAATATTCTGAATAATACAAGAAGTCGCCGTAACTTAAGTGCTCTGCTCAATTTTTAGAACAACTGTTGGCAGCAGATCCGCTCTTTCATATTTTTTGTTGATAATGTTTCGATCGAATTCGAAACAAGTCTTGTTCCGTATGATGTATGGTTAGATTTTTTGGTAGTTTTCTAAATAAAAGCTATTGAGTAGTTGAAAGTTTGTTCCTGAGTCGGTGGATTTGTACTTTAGAATTAACGCAAGGCGTTCCAAAAAATTATGTATGAATTATTTTTAAAGGACTTTGCAGCAGACAAAAATCTTTTTTCAGCACACACGTACAATTCATGGGTTTATTATCATGTGCAGCTTTCATCTCATTGTAAATCGCAACGGAGGCTTTCCCTTCCAGGCGACATAATAGATGACGCCTCGTATTTCGCACTTGACGGGAGACTCTTTGTCATTTTTCACCAATAATTTTCTAGGTTGGCTGCATTACCGTGTTGCTAACATTACGAAAATAAAATTCATCGACAGTGAGAGCCTCAATACACTTACTTTCTGGATATGACTTTAACAATAGAAATCGAACCTTACCGACCTACCTATTTGTGGTATTATATGTATCTACCGAACTATATTTGCCATAATTATTATTTATTATTTTGCTTGTTTATGTTTTTTAACATTGAAGACTAGCAACAATATTAGAATTTGTGAGGATTACCGTGTCAGCGTAAATTTTAAGAAATAAATATGGCAGAAAAAATATTAACAAATCATTAACCATTGACGGTACACTGTAGGCAAGTTCAACAGCACGTCTTCGAAAAGCGAATAACCTCAAATGTCAGATTTCAGTGTTGCTGTTATAAATAAAGTACCATGTTTACAATATGTAAAATAATAGTAATGCAGGCTTTGGCAATGATATGTTGCCGTTGATAAAGATGTTGCTCCATCACAGTGGAGCCGAGGGTGGCTTACAGAGGTTTGTTGCAAGAACATTTCGAGGGTTGTTGCTGCGTCGTTAACAACAGAATAAATTTCCTTCCTCTTCCTGTTTCTGTGACAACAAAACAGTAGGTTCATACAAAGTCAGAAACGTATGAATAGGTGAATACTGTTAGATACATAAATATCCGTAAGGTTTCATGTGACAGTGTTTGCGATGTCACCTTGTAGGAAATATTTATATTTGTTTAGTTTGTTCTGCGTGTTAATCGTCTGATGGCATGTAAGTGAAGAAATGATGTTACTAACTCTGTGAAATTGAGTAAATTTCAATCCAGAAAAATTTAATTAAGTGTTTTCACACGCAACGTTTTATTTGTTATTCGTTTTTCGTCAAATTTGTCACAACATGCTAAAAGTGAATCACTATCCTTACGACAGTAAAGTATCATATTCTTGTTCTACGTCTAAAGAATCGTATAAATAGAGTGGAAAAATCATTAATTTCATTTCTGAGCCAACATTTTATTTTTTTATTGCAAATATTAGAATTAATACGTGAATTGAGATGTGAGATTTATTGCCTTTAACTTCTGATGTAATCCACAAAATGGTTATTATCGTTGAACGATTCTTCTTCTTCGACAGTAAGGTTTCGACTGGAAACATCAGGTGAAGTTAGATTCTCTTCCACCTAATGTTTCCAGTGGAGGGGATCATATTTCTCGCGCAGACGAGATTCGCTAAAAAATTTTCAAAACAGCAAGCGATATCCCTAAGGGAAAACTTTCTGTAGTAAATTTTGTAGTTGCAATAGTTGTTGAATATTTACGAAAAATTTGCCATCAATTGTGTTATAAAAAAAGTCGGGTGAATACCCTGAATGATTTTCCCTTTATTGAAATGCTTAAACACTCCGGTTAATGAGGGAACACTAATTCATTCAAATCGCAGTAGCCCACTCTGTCGACTCAATCAATATATTTTCGTCAACGGCTCTCCACAAAAAATAGTTCAACGAAGTCAAACCGCTGCTGCGTTGCGGCCAGCTGACATCACCGTTTCGGCTAATTATGCGATTTTCATTTTCTTCAACATTTGGAAACAAATAACATCTTACCCTGTCACGGTAATGGTCATTACCGTTTATGCCGACCTTTACCAATGATGCCGCCCGTCCACATGCCGCACCAAACAGTCACTCGTTGTGAATGCAGCGACGTGTATGCTTGCTGAGCTCCAAGTGCGGCAGTTATGATTTTTAACGTAGCCGCCGAGGCGAAAATTGGCTTTTTTTGTAAAAAATACTCTTCGGTTAAAACACTTACCTTCTGCCAAGTGATATTCAGCGCATTTATCTTAGCTAAATCCCAACAGATGGCCATAAGTCTTCAGTTCTTGGGGCAATCGTACTTTATAAGCCTTCATACCCTGTGGAAAAAAGTGCGCAAAATGTGTGTATGCGTGTGCCGAATTCGCTACCTAAATTGGTCACCAAACTTCTTAGAAGACTCGTAATTTTGCCCAAATTTGGTAAATCCCAAACCTTGTACTGGATATTTGAAACAGCGGCATTGTCACTGACGATGCAAAAGTCCAAATAAATTTAAAGTCCACCATTTAGATAGTATTGCACATTCTTTAGGCAGATATATTTAGAGAATACGAAGAAGGATTGACATCGCGTTTGACGAATTTTATGCAGGTTGGTAAGTTGTCATCAAAAGCAATTTCTTGTTATCCCATAGACTTCAACTCGTAAATCGTCAAACATTTTCCGGAACTGCTGAAGTAGCAAATAGGGTTGGTTTAGGCAATTAGTCTCAATAATTGCTGCCTTTAAAAAGAACTAATTAATATGAAATTTTTATTCCATTTTTGCTTTTATCTATTTACGAAGAATGCATAAAGGCACACCGGTAATTATCAGATTATATGCAATTTTGGCAGTTCTGACAATCACACAGCGGGACCTAAACTTTTAAGGCTTTTTGCAACAGGATTTTTAGATGTTTTTTTAAGCTATTGTACCAATTTACAGCATATCCTGCATAGATTCTACAAATCGCCTTGGAATTGCCCGATTAAATCTCAATGAACTACGTGTTTGCCTTGAAATGCGATAAGTAATTTGTCGGGCTTGCCGGCAAGGTAAAGTGTCGTTAGCTTGTCATTTTGTCAAATTTAAGATATTTTAGAAAGTTTTGTAAGAATACACGATACTGTTAAAATTTAATAATTTCCCTATAAACCGTTTAATTATTTCCCAACATTTTTAGCCAATAAATAATTTATTGCAGTCAAACAATTTTGAACGAACAGACTTAGTGTTAAAAATTTTGAATTGAATTACATTATGGGGTTACATACGTCCAGCAGCACCAAAAATGCGCTAAAACAAAAACTGTTTTCAGAAGGGATAACAATAGAAATAAATATAAAGAAATTTTATACAATGTTTATTGGTACTTAAAGTTTATAAAAAAATGTATTTTAATTTTTCTTTACAAAAATTAGTACATAAAATATCACGTGACCCAAAGTACAATGAAAAAAAAGTTGCTCCACGGTCTGCATCATTTATCCTTGGAATGTTGATGGATCTGTAAAAATAAAAAAAATTCTTGTAAAATGAAGTTGTAGTTATAGTCTGTCGAGCCGAATTTTTTAATTTCGAAAAATTTTCCAATTTACGGAATTTAGAAAAAAAGTATGCGTTTTACGTCATAAATGTCACACTTTAATTATGTTCATAAAATTTTTTAATAAAAATATCGAAAATACGGCTCGACAGACTATAGAGAAAACATTTTCGAATATTTAAAAAAAAATCGCATCAAAAAATGTTAAAAACTGTATGAGTTATCATGCAGACCGTGCCGGGAAAAGTAGTTTCGAGAAAAACGCGTTTAAACTTTCATGTGTCATGTGTGTGTTACAGCTACCTGTGTGCATTAAACTCTCGTCGGGCGGTCTGATTTTCTACCATAACTTTGTATTTATGGGGAATTTTTACAATCGACTTTCACAGAAATACGCCTAAAACTATAAAGAATAATAACCTATAAAAAAAAAATCGATTTTTTGAAAATTCTGGACGTATGTAACCCCTTATAGAACCTTTGCATGAAAGACCTTGAAAAAGTAGTAAAACTGAGATAAAATTAGAGCGCAATTTAATTAACTAAACTGTAGTCTAATTCAAGACTATGATTATAGCTTAATGCAATCAGCCGAAGTGACTGTTCGACTATGTACGCTCCTGCGCGTTTGTATCAGGATAAGAATAAATGGCCGATTTTTTGTTAAATATCGTCCTCAGAATCGATATCATGCTTCTATACTGTAAACAAGTCGTACAAATACCAACAAACAAAATGCAGGAGAGATGTTTAGAGTGGGAGAATCATTAATTTCATTTCCTGGACCCACATTTTATTTTTTAATTGCAACTGTTAGAATTAAAACGTGAATTGAGATGTGAGACTTATTGCCTTAAACATGTGTTGTAATCTACAAAATTGCCTTTGTGGTTGATCAATTCTTCTTTCTAGGAGGTAAGGCGCCGACTGAAATCAACAGGTGAAGTTAGATTCTCCTCCACCTAATGTTTCCAGCGTCGTATTTCTCGCACAGACGAAACTTCAAAGTTATGACTGCCAACAGTGACGTGTGATCCAAAACCCGACGGGACTCAATATTTTTTTTTTTGACGGTTGGAGATATTTCGTCTTATGCTCATTCTCCACTAGACC